ATCCCAGCACCAAAAAAAGAAAAGACAAAAAAAAAAAAAAAAGAAGATGCAGAAGAGCATGTAATCTATGCTACCTGTGTGTAGAGGGGAAAAAATGAAAAATAGGGTCTACAGATGTATCTTTTTTGTATGTTACAGAGTAACTGTGGAAAGAAGTAAAATAAACTAGAATAGGAACAGGGGAGTGTGACCCACAGAGTGGAGAAGACCTTCATCAGATACTCATCTTTTTTTTTTAGTTCTGGGGTTTGAATTCAGTTTTGTGCTTCATTTATGCCCCAGGGGGCTGGACGCCATCCTTCTATTTATGTTTTCCACATAGCTGGGATGACACCACTATGCCCGGCTTTTAGGGCATGGTGAGATGGGGGTCTTTGGAACTTTTTTGTGGAGGCTGGCCTCTAACCTCCATTCTTCCGAGTAGCTAGGATTACAGGGGGGTGAGCCACTACACCAGGCAGATATCTATCTTTTGAATGCTGCATCTTTTGGATGTTTTTCCTCTAACCCTAATGCAAAGCAGAATTCCCCACATTCTTTGGAATTGAGCTCAGGTAAGCTCCAAATCCACCATTCAGAGAAGGCTGGCATCAGGGTCTGAGTATTCCTCCTTGCAGTCCTGTCCCCTGATCCTTCCTAGGGCGAAAGCTTAGAAAACCCCAAAAGGGCAAATGAGAAGGCCCCCAGGGAGTGGTCCCTACACAGGCAGAGCAGACTGCCTCTGGGCTGCCTCGTCACTTCCCGCTCCCCTTCCCACCCCATCTATGGCCCGAATCCATGACCCCATCCATGACCCGCAGCCCATGGAGACCAGATGTACCCTCCCCCCGCACTCCTGGAGCCAGGGACACTGGAGAACATCTGGGAATGGCAGAGTCCTTTCTGGAGTCTAAGAGGGCGGACAAGTCCCCAGAAACACTGCCCCGGATTCACGCCCAGATCTCCTGGGCGCTGCCCCACGTGTGGTCCGCACCCGGCGCTGGAGGTGCCCAAACTTCGGCTGCCGCGGGTGTGAGCCGACCGCCATAGCTCGGTCTGGGGTTGGAAGTAGTGTGTAAGGGGTTTGGAGCACGCAGGGCCGGGCGTAGCCCCGCCAAAAGGTGGTGGTGGTGGTGGTCACCGGAACCCGCAAGCAAGAAGGGATATTCCAGGAGACGCTGTCACGCCCAAGTGGGCGCAGCAGCTGGCCCTGCACGCGCTGTCCCACCGATGGCGCCCGGGTCTGCACACCCCATGAATCTGCCTCCTCCAGCCCGTAACGTCGGGACAGGGAGCCAGGGAGCCAGCCACCGCGCCATGTTCCTAGTCCTCCCGCAGGGCCGGGCCCAGAGCTCCATGGACCGCAGCATTCTACTGCTCACAGCAGAGGAGCCCCTTGCAAAGATGTTCATTTCTCCTCATGTTGGCTGGCACTCAAGCGGCCCTATTTTGGGGGCCTGGCTAAGGGAAAATTAAGTTGAGGATACAACTGGGGAATGCCTCAACCCGGTGGAGAGCAAATGTTCGCTGGGCACAGTGGTTTTCAAACCTAAATGTATTTTAACTTAAAAACCCCAGCGCTTAGATCCATACATCAGGAGTGGGGACCCCAAGTCTACACTGCAGCACTGGTGGGGAGCCACGGGTGCTGAGTGAAGGGGTGGTCACCTTGTCTTGTGAGCCAGCAGGGAGAGGCCTGTTAAGACAAAAGTCCAGGTAGCACCTGGGCACCGTGGCTCCCGCCTAATACTAGTTATTTGGGAGACTGAGATCAGAAGGATTGTGGTTCAAGACCAACCTGGGCAAATAGTTCATGAGACCCCTATCTCCAAAATAATCAGAGCAAAAATGACCTGGAGGCAGTAGAGCGCCTGCTTTGCAAGCATGAAGCCCTTTCAATCAAACCCTAGTCCCACCAAAAAAAAAAAAAAATCCAAAACACTCCTGTGGCCCTCAGCCTGCCATGGGAGCTGCTACTTGGGCCTGCTTCCATTTCCCCTCCACTAGGTAGCCAAGAAGACTTCCTGAACCTGCCTGGGCTACATAGGCCCCCAGCTGCCAGAGTTCTAGCAAATCTTCTGAGGTGGCAACAGGGCAGTTCTGCCTACCAGGTGTGTAGTGTGCCCGGAAGATTGCAAGAGCAGGGTCAGTCCGTAATGGGCTGTGGCACTGTCTTAGCTAGAGAAGACCCTCCCAGAATAATGCATCAGGGTAGGGGTGGCCCATAAGTAAGAAAAGCCTGGGGAGGTGTCAAGTTTGTGGTATAGGATAAAGTTTCTAGGACTCCGGACAGGCCTCTGCCAGCCAGCTGCTCCTGGTTGGCTGTGCCAGAAGGGAGGCAAGCAGGCAGAAAGACAATGGCATAGTGGTCATATCCAAAGGCTGCCCTTGCCACATAGGAACCCAGCACTCTCTGAGTGAAAGTTCCTTCACAGGTGTCTCTGGGGCACTCTTTCTTCCATGATTTGACACAGCTTTGCTGTTTCTCTCAAATTCACCTGAAAGTAGGAAGCCAGGGGTTACATTTTAACAGTTTAGTTCTATATAGTGGAACTGGACTGGAATTGCCATTAAGAAAATTTGACTTCTACCAGGTGCCAGTGGCTCATACCTGTAATCTTAGCTACTTGAGAGGCAGAGAGCAGGAGAATCACAGTTCAAGGCCAGCTGGAGCAAAAAGTGAGACCCTAACTCAAAAATACCCAACACAAAAAAGGGCTGACAAAGTGGCCCAAGTGGTAGAGCGCTTGCCTAGTAAGCTTGAGACCAACAGTTCAAATCACTGTACTGCAAAAAAAAATTTTTTTGACTTCTCAATTCACACCTAAGTTGCCATGGGAAGAGTATAGGTAAAGTCAGGCAAAATGTGCCGGGTTGGGCACAAAGAGGGGGACAGGATCCTCCCTGGCTAAAGAGGTGTGAGGTCTGAAGGGAAGTCGTCAGTCTCATCAACACCTCAAGTTTCCTCTGAAGGTCCCCCAAAGCTCATCAGGAGGGCCATATACAACAGGAACAGAAAAGGCCTTAAGACAGTTGGGACAGACATCATAACCCTGCTCCAGAAGGAAAAATGTCCAGTCTCTCTGTGGTGCTGCAAATGTAATGTCTGGGAACTACTGCCTCATGCTCAGGCCAAGACCAAGCACCAGGCTGTCCTCCAGCACCCAATATGCCCACACGATGAGAGCAGATTTTCTCTTTTGGAGGGAGGCTCTTCGGGAAAGGAGAGCAGCAGTAGCAGCAGCAGCAAGGTGGCCTGGGTGAGTCTCTGAGCAGCACCAGGAGTGTCACCACTGCTTAACTGCTGGGACGCTGGCTGGTGGGGGCTGACTGAGGAGACACTGAAACATTGAAGCTGCTGCCACCACTGGCTGATGCAAGTTTTATTGAGACAATGTACAAACAGGCCACGGAAACAAGGGTTTTGATGCTGGGACCAGTAACATAAAATGGAATACAAAAATAAAAAGGCACTAATCTGTTAAGAAAAGACACTCGATGTATTCTAAGAATATAAGTCATTTAATACTGTTAATTTTATAGCACAAAATAAAACAAGCTATGATCCCCAAAAATAATTTTAAAAGCTTACACAGAAAATATTATTGCCTGAAGTTTATGATCTTTAAGTTACAGGTCAAAAGAGTTTTATGCTGTTGTTTTAAAACACACAGTGAAGACCGTCTAGAAGCAAGGCCACTACTGTTCCTTCTGTAGAGACGATCCTGTCTCAGAGAACTGTCCTTTACTCCTTTAGAATACAAAACCAACTCAGTGCCCACACTGACAGTTACTAGGGATGCAGTTCTCCGGTCCCAGAGGGTGGAGTCTGAGGCAGAGCTCAGTGGTGTCCACAGAAAGCATTAGTCTTAGGTACTGTGTTAAAACAATCAAGAATTCACTCATTTTAAGAGGTTAATGAACATAATATTAAAGGATTAAATTATAAACACCTGGCACAAAAACACATCATCCCTTTTCAAAAAATAAAATGTTCATATTCCTCTGAGCAAATGTTACAAGAGCAGTGGCTGTCTGCCTCGGGCCTGCCTTGTCTGTAAACAGCTGTAAAGGAAGGCCGGCACAGTGCCAGGGTATGACGTTCCAAGGAGGGCACAGTGGTCCTTTCCTCCTTTTCATCACAGAAGGTGTTGGGAGTCTGGTGGCCAAAGTTATCCAAAGGCAGCTGGTCAATGCATCCTCTTTGTTAACCATGTTGTCAGTTGGTACCACGCAGTGCAGAAATGGTAAGCATGACTTTTGTGTTGGCAATTCTGCCCAGGACAAACAGGTTGTAATCAAACTGTCAGTGCTCTCTAGTACATAACTTGTTTCCTTCCCAGGTGAAATAACATAGTGAGTCAATTTAACACCCAAGTATTTCCTACAACACAGTAGAGCAGAGCAAATAGCAATAATCATAAAAAGAAAGCCACCCCTGGGTCAAATACACACTGCTTTTTGGAGCATGGATATCTTCTCAGACTAATGGGGAACCAGGCACAAAGTTGAGGCAGGGGTGCTTTTTATTCCATTAGTGTGAAAATGAGTATTTTTCTGCTGGATTAAAAAAACTGAGAAGGTTCTAAGTCAAAAGGTTACTACTTTTGGCACATATTTTGAGAGCTCAGAACTCAAGGCTCCCTTTTATTTTGAGCTCTGAATCTCTTAGGAAGCCCTAGAGACATTTGCATGGGCTGAAGTAATTCATTATAGAACCAAACTCTAAATTTACATGGTGTTTGATTCAGGAGTGCTTCACACAGGGTAAGTCTTGCTATTGTCAGTAGACCTGCTGAAAGGAAACCCTGCTTTCCAAAATGGCCATATACTACTTGTGCTGGGCCAATTGTTATTAATCAAAAAGTGTCAAGCCCTTTTAATTAAATCTGATTTAAAAAGGCGTAAGAGCCGGGCACGGTGGTGCATGCCTATAATCCCAGCTGAGACAGGAAGCTCCCAAGTTTGGGGCCAGCCTGGGTAACTTAGTGAGACTCAAAATTTTAAAAAGGGCTGGGGGTGTACCTCAGTGGTAGAGCACTTGCCCAGCATGTGTGAGGCCTGGGTGGGGTTCAATCTCCAGGAATGGGAAAACCAAACCAAACCAAACCAAACCAAGGTTTTACAGTTTGTGCCCTCTTTGAGCAAGGCACATTTTCCACCTTCTGTTAGACACTCCACGCAGGTGCAGATGGTGCCAATAAGAGCATAGGTGAAGTAGGTCACTGGCAGACACTGTTTCTAGGTAGAATTTGGGGACTCTGTTCCCTACATATCACTTGGGGCTAAGCCTGAACTCAGAACAAGTCCACCACTCAACAGACCTAGCTACAATAGGCAACTGGCAAGGGAAAGTCTTTAGAGAAGGGGGCGGTCACACTTCTCTCTGCTTAAGAAAGCACTGATCTCTAACACTTTTTTAGGAAAACCACAGACAGGCAGTGGTATTTTTTCCAACTGATGGTTATTTTCTCACAGGAACACTCTCAAGACTCAATACACCACTTATCAGCCTGATAGAATACTGATTTAAGATAAATTGATAAAGAAATGGACAAATGGGTATTTACTTGTTCTGCCACCAGAATATATTGCTCCAAACCTCTAAACCAAAGAACATCCAGAGACAGGGCCATAGTTATAGTAGGTGCTCTATAATTGTTAAGAGTTATTCACCAGGCCATGCTGTTTCTAGGCCAACTGTGTTCATTTTGAACAGAAGCTTGTCTTCACCAGGGTTCAGAAAGGACAGCAAACTGAACTGCACCTAAAGGTTCCAGAATTCTAGTCTGCCATGTACAGATGGGGATCAGTCACACATGGGCTCCAATCATCTTGTATAAATAGGTCTCTCTCTTTTTTTTTAAAATATTTTATTTATTTTTCGTTGGTACTGGGGTTTGAACTCAGGGCCTTGCTCTTGCTAGGAAGGCGCTCTACCACTTGAGACAGTCTGCCAGCCTCAAACAGGCCACTATTAGCTTAACAGGGAAATGCTTTAACATCACTTGATTAAGGGTTCTCCTTAGTCCCTACAACACTAGACCTAGACTTCAAGTGCATGAACCAGTTTCCAGAGTCTGCGTTTTCTTTGCTCAGGAGCATTATGGATGCCACCAACCGACAGCACCATCTTTCTCCAGCAGCCTGGGGAGGCTGGGCCTGGGCAGGGAAGGCTGAGTAGGCTTCAATGAGTAGAATTTAAAAATTTAATGACATATTAGTGGATCCAGTAATTCTATGAACCACCTAATGTTTAAACAGAAATTTAAGTCCGTAAAGTGGTGAATTCACAAAAAAGCTGGAAAGAAAACTGGTCAAATACTCCACTCTTCACTGCTCTTTTTGCTGGCAAACAAGGTAAACAGAGGTTTCCCCAAATTACCTCCCACTCTCATGCTTTTGGGGATGAAGTAATTCAAGAGACTGTGCACCCAGCTTGGCATACCATAACTGCTGATTGTATGTGTGTGTGTGTTGGTTGCTGCACGGCAAAACAAGGTACATCGGCAACCAAGATAGTAAGGGCCTCCGCTTCAGGGCTGTTCTCTTCATATTTCTTTAGTTACAGCAGCTTCAGTGGAGAAGCTCAGAGGTGTGTGTTATTTCTTGGACTATCACAAAAAGTCCAACCTGCTACTTAAAAATCTGTTCAAAACACACAAGTCTAATTAATTAGTTTTCCAAACCAAACCAAACCAAAAGAAAATGAAAGAAAAGCTAGATTTGGAGTGTTCAGGACAGAATTCTCTCTTAAGGTTCACTCTCTCCGTTGTCCAAAGAAAAACAAGCTGGTGGCAGAGCCACTGCTTGGTGGAACAGCAACATGCAGGATCTCGCCATTGGCCTCAAGCTTTCAACAGCAAGCATGACAGACTCAGTCCCAAGAACAAACAGGGCAGTGATGAGAAGACTCTTTGCATGTCAACTTCCCTTCACTTGTGTGCTTCCACCGATATTTCCAGTTTATGATCCAAAAGAACTCTAAAATCAGCTACTCTTTGACAATACGACTATAATACAAATGCCAGGAGGCAGCCACTGTGTGCATTCCAAATGTGTATGAGAGATCACCAGTCTGCAAAAAGCTGGACATCGGCAATGCAGTGTAACTTGCCTATGAGAGAGAATGCTTTCCCACTTCAAAGGAGACTATGACAGGCAGAATGACGAAGCAGCAGGAAACAAGGCAATAGCAATCACTCATTTTCATCTGGGTTTTGAGGGTCAATGATTTTGACGTGCGTAAAGGGGAAAAGCCCTTTGCGCCCATTCACCTCGCCTTCCCACTGGCCATTTATATTCATCCTTGTGACTTTCACAATGTCACCAACCTGAAGGGATAGAGAAAGAAGACAAAGTTAGTATTGTTCTGCAAACAAGAACAGTTTATATTAAATCACAAGCACTATCCTATCTAAAGGAACTAATCAATGTTCTTTAAGACTAATCAATTTTTCCCTCCAGTACTTGGAGCTAAAAATCATGTAGTGCCAAAGACACAGGTACTACCAGTGTACCCAGTCTAATTCTCAGCTGGCAAGAATTTATACCAAGAGAAACAGCTTCTGAGAACAAAGCAGCCTCCACCCCCAATGGCTACTAACCCAACAGGACAGAAAGGAACATATGACTTTCTGAGAACAGTTCAAGTCAAACCATGTAAAAAGGTAGGAGGAAGCCAGGCATGGTGGTGGTGCAGGCTGGTAATTCTAGCAGTTAGGAGACAGAAGCAGGAAGATCGAGAGTTTGAGAACAGCTTGGGCTATATAGTGATCTTGTCTCAAAAAAACACAAACAAACAAAAAGCAAGGGCAAGCTGAAGGTGTGCCTCAAGTGTTAGAGCACCTGCCTCACAAGCATGAAGCCCTGAGTTCAACCCAGTACCTCAAAAAAGACAAACAGACAAACAAATGAACAAACAAAACAAAACCAAGAGCTGGGGATATAGATCAGTGGTAAAGTACTTACCCAGCATGCACAAGGCCCTGGGTTTGATTCTCAGCCATGGGGGGTGTGGGAAGAAGGTTGACAGGAGGGAAGAGGAAATTCATCCATCTCCATCCAAATTCACAGAGGATGGAATTGCTGTCACTAAAACCTCTCTTACCAAGGCCCTCAATGAGACAGTGGTGCCTCCCCAAGCTGTCCTGTCCACTGTCCACTTCCTCTGTGGGACAGTCATTGGGGAAGCATCTTAAAACTACAAGGTAGATGGAAGGTGTGGCTCAAACAGGCTTCTTTGTAAGCCTGAAGACCTGATTTCAAGCTCCAGTCCCACAAAAAAAAAAAAAAAGTCCTGCAAGGTGATGGGAGTGCTCCCCCCACCCCAACCACACTAGTCCTCTACTGGGGTTTGAACTCAGGGTCTCACACTTGCTAATAAATCAGGTCACTGCTCTAATTTTAAAACCTCCTCCAACCCCTTCTCTCTGCATAAGAGCAATATCCGGACTCTGATCTTTAAGTCACTGCCTCATCTGTTCTCTGACCTCATTTATGCCATTTTGCTCTTCCCCTCCTATCACACTGATCTTTTTCCATTTCTTGAATTTGTAAGTTCTTTCCCAGACACAGACTATATGACATATGTGAGAATAGGATGTGCTGGAAATGTCACATTCCAGGCTTTTGTGTACAATAGACAAGCTGGTACTAAGAAACTGTGGACTTGTGATTTTTCTTTCACAACTGAAGAAGCGTAAGTGTCCCTGAGCAAAGCTAAACAAATCCTAAGGACTACTCGTCTCCTTATAAAGCCCACATGTAGACCACCAGTGTGTAGAGGCCCTTCAGGCAAGAGCGGCAGCCAGTGCAAATGAGGTATTTATTCTGCTCACAGCCCTAGGCTATATTCTGTATTGTGTACTTAGAATACATAAAGTCACACATTGGCTACCAGACATACCTACATAAAAGAGAGATATAAGGTGTTCAGCAGTAGAATTTTTGTCTATGAAAACAGGTACAAGGGAGTTGGGTGGTGACGCACACCTGTAAATCCCAAGCACTGGCGAAGCCAAAACAAGAAGATCATGAGCTTAAGGCTGGCTTGGACTACATAGCGAGACCTTATCTCAAAAAACAAAAACTCCGGGCTGGGGGGGCATGGCTCATGTGGTAGAGCACCTGCCTGGCAAGTGTGAGGGCTTGAGTCCAAACCCCAGGAACAACCCAAAAAAAAAAAAAAAGAAAATGTCATGAACTTTGGAACTTTAGAGCATGGCAGGACTGGACTGTGGTGAACCGCTTAAGTCTCACTTTCTATCTAACTAGAAGGTTCTTGCAATAAATACGTATGAGAACTGTTGGCCAGACACACTGTGAAGTAAATGGGAGCCCCATCCTGTCCCTGCCTCCCCTGGCTTCTACTAGTCATGGCTTTCCCAAGTACTAAAGGAAGAACTGAGGCCAGCACAGAGAAGCACAGCACTGTATTAACCAGCAGATTTTCAACTTCATCAGTAACAAGAGTCCTGATGAATGGCAACTAGGACTGTTGCTCAGTGGTAGATACTGTGTTGGATCCCCAGCACTTGGGGGAGAAGGGGAGAAGGAGACTGTTTTAGATTGAGAGATGAGGGGACCTGAAAACAGAGTGTCTAACAAATTATTGTGATGGCTATAGCAGCTGAGAATGATAATGGGAAAATGCAGAAAGAGGTGTATCAGGTACACTCACCTCAATTAACTTGTGATTCTGGCAGTCTTTACAAGATACTTTTCTCCTGACCCCACCTAATCAATTTAGAAACATTTACTGATTACATGGAAAAATGAGGTCAGTTCCTATCCTCAAGGAACTTTCAACTGTATTGCAGGCTAGACAATAAACAATTCAGTCCAGACATGGCAGATGCTCAATGAAAGAATAAAAAGTAGCAAGTGGGGCCTGGGTGTACTCAAGTGGTAGAGCATGTGAGCAAGGAACGACTGATTACAGAGATGGGTCAAGGAACAGCCTAATGATGGAGGGGGTGAATTTAACTATGATACAGTGCAAGAACTTTTGTAAACGTCACAATGTACCACCACTACCACAATACTGTGATAAAGAAAGAAAGAGAATGGCTGGGAGAGTTCTGATATCCACTTAACCATTAATGCTTCATTCTGCCTTGCAAATTTCTTTGGGCTGTGTTCTTCTGTTGTAAAACTAGAGGAAAGACAATGCATTGTGTCAAAATAGGAAATGACAAGAGGAGAAGCAAGATGGCTGCGAAGCTTTATCATTTTAAAATCTGAGTACCGTACTGAATTGTCATTGTATAGAAATTAATAGCCATATTGGTCTAGAAACATTAAACTTAATTTTCTTCCCATTTGTACAGGGGTAACACACTATTAAATACGCAAGATCTTATCTACATGAGTTTGATTACAGAAACAAATAACGTATTCTCTAAATAAATAAATAATAATCTGAGACTACAGCAGCAGCTCATTCCAGGAGGTTATATTCCCAGAAGATGATCAGTCCCAAGAATCAGGAGCTACCATTGATTTGGAGTTTGAAAAAACACACAGCTTCAAGTTTGATACAGAAACACCCTCACCTTACTTATCAGGCCATCTTAACAAGAGCCAAAAGATGTATCTAGCAACTTTTTTCTAGAGCAGGTACATTTGGTATTACTCATTAACCTGCCCAAGAGGAGCTTCTACATTTTTTAAAGAAAAAAAAAAAAAAAATCTGAGCCTGAACACTATTCAGCAGAACCATGCAAGAAGCTAACCCAGCCAGGTGCTGGTGGCTGGTTCAACCTGTGATCCAGCCACTCAGAAAGGCAGAGATCAGGAGGATTGTGGTTTGAAGCCAGCCCTGGCAAATAATTCATGAGACTGTCTTAAAAAATACCCAACCTAACAAAGGTCTGGCTGAGTGGCTCAAGGTATAGGCCCCGAGTTCAAGCCCTAGTACAAAAAATGAATGAATGAAAGAAGCTGATCCACACCAAGGCCTGTAAGCATGGACGGCAGACTGCATAACACAGCCAAGGCCATCTTTTCAGTATAGCACTTACTTTGGAGGGTCATCAATCTTGAAGTGGTTAAGTATCAACTTGGTTAAAAGAGTAAACTAAGCCTGTAAGACACTGCTTTCTATTGATGTTATTAACAGATCCAAGGAGGCACATAACTAAATCCTTATGAAATTTCACCCTATGAAATAGGACAATCCTAAGGACTAAAGTAGGAGGATTACAAAATCTAGGCCAGCCCTTGGCAACATAGTGAGAAACCAAATAAACACCAAATAAACACCAAATAAATGGTGGGACTGGCATTTTCATACTTGCAAAGCATGTGCTCTACCTCCAGTCCATTTTGTTCTGGTTATTTTGGAGACGGGAGGGTCTTGTGCACTATTTGCCTGAGCTGGCCTTGAAACTTGATCCTTCAAATCTCAGCTTCCCAAGCAGCTAGGATTATAGGCATGTACCATGGATGCCCAGCAGAAATAAGTAATTTTTTCTAGCGATTCTTCTGTTCCTAGTACAGACAGGAAACACACTTACAAATATGCTGGGGTATACCTGTAATACCAAAGCAAGGCCCTTTCTCAAAAAAAAAAAAAAAAAAAAAAAAGCAAGTCTGAGAATTTAGCATGCTGCTCTGTGGTAGATCACATGCTGGCTGTGCAAGGCTTTGAATTCAATCTCCATCACAAAAGTAAATAAAAATTAAGCACCTATACTAGGGACAATAGTTAGCCCTTTTCTGTGTGTCTAGGGAAGATCATGACAGAGAGAAAACAAGAGGACACTTCCTGCTGTTGCCAATAGTTTCTTTCATATGGCTATACTTGTTCAGACTATGTCCTGGAAATAACTCTGTCTGACTTTTGCCATTTGATTCAAAGAGCAGTGAAGGTCCTGGAGGGTCAAGCACTGGCTGTCACAACTGTGTTTTGTTTTTTCATCCAGCATCCATTCCTCATACTGATGTCTGAGACTGCATACACTCAGGATACATAAAAGAAGATCACAGGAGTTTTATATTTACACGGAAATCAGAAGTTCTAATCTAGGTGATGTGAATGAGTCTCTACTCAAACAACATCTTCAAAGTATATCCAGAATTACATGTAAATGCATCAATGTATATTTTTCTTTCTGGAGAAAGATTCCCAGATTTTACTAGATTCTCAAAGGAGTCTATAACCCCAAGAAGATCTAAAACAAAACAAACATCACCAAATACTTACATATGAATAATACTTATATTTGAATACTTATGTGCCAAGCCTTGGAAAGATACAACAGAAAACAAAACAAACAGCCTAGGTCCTTAGATAGATGCCTGAGTCCTTCCCATTTTACTCTCTATAGCT